AATATATACTTGTTAATGTAGTAGGCAATTTAGGAAAACACTTATACCTAAGTAATTTGAAACATGTTATTTTATCAGAAAATTAGTGTAACTATTTTAATTTAATTCTTAATTGTTTAAATCAGTATTAATTTACACAAATGGAAACATTATATATTTACTTTAGTAACCCTTGATTTTCCATCTATAATTAGATATATAATATCATTAATAATAAAATTGTTTGAAACATTCTAATGTAGTACCTACCTAGGTTCCTATTATGTATAAGATCAAAACTTCGAAAAACATTTCTAATGCAAAATTAGTAAAACAACATATTCAACAAATTATATATTATTAACATTACAAATGGAAAACTTTAAATGCAATATAAAAAAGTGGGTGAAATTTTCAAGCTTTTTGATCCAACTAATACAATTTTATTGACATTTATACAAAAAAAAATAAAAAAAATTGTAAACCGAAAATGCCCGTAAACAGCTCAAACAAGTCAAAATATTTTAAACACCTTATGATGTGTAGAAAATGTTAATATAAATATTCAGTGAAAATTTCATGCATCTACAGTCATTTGTTTTAGCGTTACTCCAAAAACCAAAATTGATTTTTTCAAAACCCTGTTTTGCGTACAAATTTCGGTTTTTCCTTCCGCTTTTGAAAATCATTTGGAATTTTTTTTTTTTGACTCCTCAAACCAACTAGATTCATTTTCCTACCAGAAAAGATGCTATAGAAGAAAATCGCTTCGATTTTGCTTCATTCATATTACCCCGATAGGTGGTGATAGACACAAGAATAAAAATTTTAAAAAAAAACATATTATTATTGTAAAATCAATACATTCATCACTCCGCTTTATCTAAAATGTGATATAATAATGATGTGTGTTCTTTTTGTTTTGTTTCATTTTTTTTGTGTCTGTCATCACCTTTTGGGGCAGTAAAAGTGCTTCAATTTTATTCAACAGCATCTTTTCTGGTAGGAAAGTGAATCTAGTTGGTACTTAAGTGCTAAAAAGTAAAAAAAAATTAATAATTTTCAAAAGTGGCAAGAAAAACAAACACATAATTAAGGAAAATGGAAATTTTCACAAAAAAACGGGTTTTGACAAAATCGATTTTGGTTTTTCACTCGGAATCTAAAATAGTATCAACTAAATCGTCTAGTGATGAACGGAGTCCGATTTTTGCTGAGGCTGTTAATGATCTTCCGAATCAAGTTTTAATTAATATAGCTACCCAACGAAAGTTTTTTAAAAGCGTTTTACATAAGCAAGCATTGATTGCAATTTGCAGTAATGATATAGCATCAAGCCTGATGTTTTTTTTTGTATTTTATTTCTCTAATAATTTAATATGAATTTAAAAAACTATGAATTTTCAACTGTTAAATCATTTTCGACATTTCTTGACGATTTTTTTTAAAAAAGTAATTGTACCTAATTACCTATTTTCGACATCATTTAATTTTTGCTCAAACAACTTATAAGGAATCTTGGACTTGCACTGAATTTTCAAGATCTTTTACCAAGCGAAAACATTTTTATCGATGTTTTTCTTACGTTTTCAAAAAAATAATTAGTTATATAGATAATCGTATATAACCGATTTTCATTTGTTAATTCATACAGTATTTATTTTGTTGTTGAATCCACATTTTTTAATTACCTTTCTACATGGCTACATTTTATCACGCTCGTTTTATAGGTAGACTGTATAAATTTATAAAAGTACCTACCTATAATACCTACCTATACATCACCCCTACCTACTATGAATTATATAATTATACATGGAATTTTAAACAATCGTATTTATATTTTATATTATTTAATAATTAATATTGGATAGATACTTTCTTTTTAAAAAACGAAATTGTTCATTCACAAATATAATATATTGATGTGTGTGTGGTTTTTTTTACTATAGCGACCCAGTATTTTTGATCATAGTTTCAAATATAAATAAATATAATAAAAGTTTTGCCTCCCCGGCCATAAAGGTAAATGACATATAGACATGCCTGCGGATGTGAATATAATATGATATTATAATGATTATGATAATGTCAGAATTGAAAAGAATATTTTTTGATTAGAGACCTGATTATGTAATAATATGTCTTGAATTTTTTACTGAGATTATACAGCCTGTGGGCTGTGACGTCCAATGCAAATAAGTATTATTATTATTATTAGGAAGGTTGACCTATTCTTATAATAATCACCTACTGATTTAAATGATTTGTGAGTTACATGAATATTATATTATGTGTTGTCGCAGCAGTCGCGCCTCACTAATCCAACGCTATCGCAGCCGTTATCATTGTGAAAGTACCCAGTCGAGTCGTGAATCGACAATTAGGCCGTATTTGATAACCGACTAAGCTCTACCTAGCGACTTTTCCCTCTTGAGCTTTGAAAAACGTGCTTATAGAAAATTTAATAAAAATTTTAGTTAATATTTTTTCCTCCTTTGATGAAAAATCAAACATCGGGCATTTAAGACAGTTAGAAATATAACATAATATTTCTAGATAGTTAGGTATTTTAATTTGTATATATATTATAGGTGTGAGGTATACTAACATATTATTTAAAAACTAAATAAGTACATTTTAATACACACATAAAAATGATAAAACAACTATATAGTTGAATGGATATTTATACTAATTATACGCCGATAAACAGCGAGTAACTCAACTTCATCATGGACCAGAACACCGCGGGTTCCTCGAAACTAGATAAGAAATTTAGAAGGTCAAAAAATACGATAAAATGTATTTATTTCAGAAGAAATAATAAGCTATAATGAAAATTCCTATTCAAAGTTACAAAAATTAATTTTGTATTAATACTATTTAAAATGTATATGTCTATTCATAGCTTACCTATTAGGTAACTGTTGATACTTGATTGTTCATTAATTAATAAAACATTTAATAAAATGTTGTATCTACAACTATGTATATCCAATAGGCCATAGGTAGGCTATAATACCCACCTATATACTTATGCATTTGAATATTTATTTAAAATATACACAAGTTCATAAATTATTGTAGTGTACTGTATTTTACAATTTATATTTGAATAATGAATCTTGAATGCCATTATAATAATATGTTATTAGTCCTTCTAAAGTTTTGTTTTTAAAGAATTATAGTCAAATAAATGTAAATAAATACACGCTTTTAAAATGTTATGTAAAATCTCATTTTCTGAAAATAGTTTTTTGTAAATGGTACCTAGTTTTGTACACATAACTAAATAGTTTCATAAACTTTACATAAGCTGTTCTTGTTCTGCTCAGAGAGTAATGGAGTATAGCTACTATAAGCCAAATTACTAAAGACGATGATTAAGAATAAAGTAATAAATACTGTTAGGTACATAATGAATATACATTTTTTTGGAGAGGAGGACGGGGGTTAATATAATTGAATATAATATCTTCGCCATTGAATAATTTATACTCCATAGAGCTTTAAGGTTCTGGGTACTTTTATTTTTTAGCCAACCAAATAAAATGTAGCACTTAAAAGATAAATGATGAAGAATGTTTAAAGTTGAATTTTTTTTCAAAATGCCTAATTATTTTGTGATTAAAAATACAATAACATTAAGCACAATAATTTTCTTTAATAAATCTTACTCAAACCCAACAGTTTTTAAAATGTATTAAGCACAGTTTTTTTAGAAATATTTGTAGTCTGAAATTACTTTGAATGTTGATGAAATTGGATATTTAAACGAAGAATTACGATTTTAGATATGCAGTCATTCAAATATTAGTGGGTACTTGAAACTTTTATGCATATTATTATAATTTAATATTCAAAATTCAAAATTAAATTTTAAAAATATTTAGAATAATTTTAAGCTATTGCCAATTACAAACCTATTCATATCATTCTAAAGTAAGTTGTCACTAACCAAAAAATTAATATAAATAATAAATATATAGGTATAGGTACTAATATTTTATTATAATAAAATAAATAATAAAATAAATGCAATGTTTTCAGAAAATATTCATTTAACCATCTTATTACGAATCTCTTATAACAATAGAATAAATTATTTAGTGTACAATTGAACTATATTATAATAAAATATACTTAGTAGTAAGGCTAACTCCACTCAGAATCGTTTTTCGTATGCAGGCATACCTAATGATTTATCATTGAATTCAATGTACTAAAACAGTAAATAATATTCACTCAGTTAAATCAGTTTCATATATATTTCAAACATTTTTTAAAGAAGACTGGGATAAGAATTCATTGGTTTGATTTGCGGGTATAATATTATATAGGTACCAGCGTATTGGTCGGTTATAATTGACGGCGCCGGTTATTGTTTGCGCATTGTCTATTAAAAATTATTTTAGTTTTAATAATGTTTAAGGAAGAATCAGAAGGACTACCTTAGGAAGTTATGTAAACGGTCGGCATGCAAAAGATTTATAACCCAAAAATCAAACGATGCGCAAATGTCTTACGAAAAATATTAAAATTAACAATAGTGATGAGCAGGGCTCGTGAGTCCATGCATTAAAAAATACATAAATTAGCATGCACTATAAACATTGTCAAAATATGCATTCAAATATGCACTAACAATTTTAAATTATGCACTTAAAATATACATACTATAAAAAAATCACAGGCAAATTATAAAATAATACAACTTTTTATCCGAATTTAATTTATTTTAATTTCTATACACTTTATAACACCCAGAAACCTAACTTTATAAATCAACACTTTTTTTGTCATCATTACATTATTGTTATGTTATTATTATTATTAAATCCGTGGTAAATTAAATAACCCGTGGTCGTACAAAAATAAAAAAAAATCGAAACAAATACTACAATTTTGTAAATTGGAAAAAAAATAAGAAATAAAAAAAAATTCAAATATTTATTTATTTAAACATATTTTTTTATGAAAAAATATGCACTAATAACTAATTTTCTAAAATATTTCAGTTTGGTAGCTTTAACCATTAAGGTTGTACAGCATAATATTATAATCGGTAGTAGTAAACATTTCATTTTTCAGTAAGTACCTACCTTTAAAGTGATAAAAAAATCAATTTCTTAATTACATTTAAGACCAGTGATTGTGTTGGTAGGTATAGAGTATAAGACTACAGACATTCCAGTTTTCATGCATGCACATTAAGATAATATTTCAATGCATTTTTAAATGATTTAACTTTTAAAACATATTCTTTTTAATTATTAGTAGGTATATACAAGGTATATTTAGTAGGTACATATAACCATAGAGGACAGAGGTACCTTCCTATAATTGCATATTTGCATATAAATCCCGTGTCTAAACGTATGATTATATTTTTACGTAAACGCCACCGGCGCGAGTGCTTGCAATTTCCTGCTCCGTTCGCATCCACCTAATACCTATACACATAATATTATACAGGTAATATTAAAATGAATATTTTTCTTGCATGTTTTTTGTTCATTAGATTTAATAATTATTGCTCTGTAAGTTAAAAATGTATTTCATAACTTTACGAATGAACTATCAAAAGTTTTTATGCATAATTTTGCATATATATATATAGTTATATACGACCACCTGTTCAGGGAATTTCTTAATTTTAACAGCATATTTTCTGAATTTTGCACATATACAGTAGACGCCGCTTATAAGACTCACGGATATAAGGTTCAGTCGCTTATTAGACTCAAAATCGTCTGGAACGGACCGGACGTATCAAACTACATTAAAAAAAAATCGGGTATAAGACTCAACGCTTCGGTTATAAGACTCAAATTTCGTGAAATAAATAGTAGAAAATAAACTTTTTTGGTTATAATTTAGAAATAGATTGGTATTGAAAAATTAAATAATATTCGTGTTGATTAATCCTAGTTTCTGTTGTACCTTATAACGTATAATAATTTTTATCGCAGATAAAAGTTCACATTTATCGCAACGATTATCGTTATTATAGTGAGGTATCTGATTATCTGGCGGCTGCACAGTTATCGCAATTACGGGTACATAAATACACATACGTATATGCCATACGTAACCTTTATAATTTTTTATTAATGTATAATTTTTATAATATTTTTATATGTAATATTTACCTATTATAATTTTAGTTTTTTTATCAGGATTATTAAATTTATTCAATAATAAAGTATGCAATATGTAATATGTGTTAAAGTATTAAAATCAAAGCAAAATATGTAGTAAAATAAAATTTATAAATACGTAATTAATTTTTTTTTCCACTTCGCCTAAAAGATTCATTCGGTTATAAGACTCACTTTGTGCTGGTCCCAAAGTGAGTCTTATAAGCGGCGTCTACTGTATTTGAATGTTTTGATTAGTAAGGAGATTATGTTTAAAAACCCTGTAAATTAAAAATAAAGATACTGTTTTGATGATTTAATCTTGTGCTACGGCCACTTATGACCTAAACCTAATGAATCCACCAACAACAAGATTTATAGGTACTTTGAAGCCCATAATATTTTTTATTATTTTATAATACTACGCATCTTTACTTTCATATTATTAATTTAAATGCGATGAGTAGAAAAACATATTAATGTTTTAATTTAATTTAAAATAAAATGTTTATAATTTTCAAACAAGAAAATCTAAGAATAAAATGGTTAGCTTTTAAAGTGCATATTTATGTGCGAATCTATGTGCATATAGTATATTAATTACACTTTTAGAACATTAAGCTAAATTAATATAATAATACAAATAAAGTATTTCTTGGTGCGGAGTAGGGACACACACTGTTGAACAGGGATATGAGATAATATTATGATTTATGAAGTTATGAAGCTTGTGTAAGGATTTTTTTATCGATTTGCTCACACGACCAAGACGGCCTCTTTAACATACATAACATATTGCATATCACGTATATAGTAGTACATAAATAATACACATATGATATATAGTATGTATTACTATATATGTGATATGTAGTACTCTGTACTAAATGTATTATGTAGGTATGTATTATATCTTTATTATACTGATATTTTATATATATCACTAATATTATAAACGCAAAAGTTTGTAAGTATGTTTGTTCCTCTTTCACGTAAAAACTACTGAATGGATTTTAATGAAACTTTACAATAATATAGCTTATACATCAGAATAACACATAGGCTACATTTTATAAATTAAAAAATAGACACAATATATCTTAATAAATTGTAGCCTATGTGTTATTCATAAAAAAAAAAATTCATAAGGATAGTACAGCTAAAGTTAATTTTCCGATATCTTACAAAAAAATTTAAATAATTAAATTGGCATTTTCTATTATAGGTAATAGTATTATAGATATATTTCAGCTGGAATTGTGGAGCTAAATAAAGATAATTTTCAGTTTTTCAGTTTTGTTTAAATAAAATAGGCAGGTAATTATTTTATATCTATATATTTTATTATACCATAATCCATAATAAAAAATTAATTACTTCTTAAATATTAGTAAGAAATGTTAGAAAATAAACATGATATCATTATTTGCCTGGTTATACCAATGGACAAATAGTGGTTTTTACTTATTTTACGATGATAATAATAAAAATTATAATTGAAGAGTCTACAAAAAATGATACTTTGAGTATTGAATTAGTATTAAATATATTTAACAATGAAAATTGTAATTGCCTATATCAGGCCCCTTATAGATATTAGATATACTAAAGTGTAGTGGATGGTTCATCCCCTTAAACTCGACTTTTCAACTGTGTATTTATAAAACGTATGTAATTAATCTTTAATCTTGAGTATTTACCATAAAATATAACACAATTTAAAAAAAAACCTACAATATTTTAAAAACCTCTGTATTTTGATACTAATTACTGCAATTTACAATAAATATAAATTATTGGATCAAGACGATATAGACAATAATTTAAAAATTAAGATCAATGATCATGTTACATTCTTGTTTACCTATTTAATTTCAATATATTCTTGATAATTATGATTGAAATATGGATATATACTATATAGCATATTGTTTGTATTTATAAAAGACAACTATTATTTTTAAGTTATTAACATAATATAAATTATGATGGTGAGTAAATCTAATTTTTAAAGGTTAACTGTACAGTGATGTAGCAATAACAAGTTATTTATGTAATGTGTCTGATGATTTTAAATCATAAGCTGTGTACACACGTTCAGTCTTCAGTTCAAACTTAACTTAAGGTAAGTGTGTTTAGGTAAGTTTGAGCTCATGATCCACTACACACTACTCGTATTGTAGATCAGTTAAGCGTGGTGACTTCACGATGTTCGACGATTTGTGTTTAATTTCGACTGCTAATGAGTGTTATACAAAGTATAAAAAAAGCGCTCAAAATGGGGCAAAAATTGATTGGAGAAACGAAGTTTTTACTGTCATGTAAATTTATTAAACGACTTAAGCCTAGAACCAGATGACTGGCGAAACTATTTGCGTACGGATGAGGACACGTACATGTATACAACATCCCCACACACCCACAATAATTTTGGATTTTTAAGTTATTTTACAAAAATATTCATTCGAAATAATTTATATAGCTAAACAACGTTTATCGCAGGTAGATTGCTTACCTGATAATATACTGCTCGCATTATCACAATCGGGTCTCTTATGTAGAGATGGCATTTTTAACGGGCAACGAAGTGCACAGGATCAGCTAGTATATTATAATATAGAAAAAGTTGATTAGCGAAGTGTAGAGTTATAACTGTTATTAATTTTATTAAAATACTAAATATACCTACAACCTACTATTATGTCTATAAATTATAATCTAAAACCTATTTGAAAAAACTGATTTTTTTGAAACACAAAAATAATAAATAAACAAACTGTACATCAACAGCAGTTAAACTTATAATACCAAAATAGTTAATAAATTGGCCTAATATGGCCAACCTCTAAGAAAAATAATATAGTAGATACTTAACAAAATGTGTTCTAATTGAACATGTATTATCTATTGACTATTAGTTAGATATCTACTTATCATATTATATTTTAAAAGAACACTACACCAGCATATAACAAAAATTGTTTTTAGAGGGTAAGAGCCACTAGGCTGTAGTCCAATCTAAGCAATCAATTTTTTACACTATAACGAGGAAAACATTACCTGTGTAACGTTGCATTTACATTTTCGATATCATAAGTACAAAAATAAGTTCTTATTGTTTAAATGTTCTCCTCTTTATATTGTAAGTATTTGGTTGGTAAGCTTAAGACTACAGCCTGACAGGTTTTTGAAAAAAAGAACTTAAGCTAGTTGAGATTTATATTAGGACATTAAGTACATCTAACATACAATTGATGAATTGAAAAAAATTGTTTTTATACTTTATTATACATAGATTTTAGGATTCTAGGTACCGAGTAAAGTTCTTTTCTGGTAAAATATTATTCGTGCATCATTGAGAGGTATAACTGTATAAGTGGTATAACTCGGTCAGATCACTCGTATAATAATACACGCGGGACATCATAATTTGTAGTAGCCAGTAGCCACTAGCCAGGTAGGCACCTACTTACAATAAAATATTATAATTTATAACTATTACATGCGGTCTACAAACCTACACGCTACGGAACATTTAAAAACTTTAAACTAGCAAGATATTTAATTAGAAGTTATGTGCAAAATACTTAACTTTTGAAGTTTGAAATAGTCTCAACTAGAGGTACCTACTTCAATTCTAGACTCCAGATATGGTACAATCGTACATAAATGTAATTTATAATTAAACCATGTCCACGGTACTAATAAAGTTTTGAACATTTCGTTCAACGGTTCGTTGAACGAATAAAACTTACTATTATGAACTAAGTAAAGTCTCTAAATTAACTTTGAAAATGTAATACAAGGTTCCTCGAAAGTTATTGTTAGTGGAGATTAAAAAATAGTTGAGCGTAAATACACAATAACTTTTTTTAAACGTTTGAATTTAAAATGTTGACAAAATTCGTAAAAACATGAACATTTGCAAATTATTTTGAGTTAAAAGTTCATAAAAATTATCTTTTTATAACTAAGATTTAAGAATTTAATGCGAGGCTTTTTATAATTTTGTCCACATTAATCAAGAAATAAAAATTTCTACCGGAAAGTAAAATACAATATTTATGAGCGTTTGAAGTTGAAATTTTTACAACATTGAATATTTACTCGATTTCTCATGAAGCGATTTTCTTATTTTGTTGTCTTTCAAAAACGAATAATTGTATATATTTTAAATTTACACCATATTATGTTGTTTATTTTATCAATTCATATACTTGATAATATTTTCAAAATAGTTTGATTCGTTTTGAGCTGTTTACGGACATATTAATTGTTTTAGTTTTATTTCTTTAAGTGTCAAATACAATTTTAATTTGTTGGGTCAAAAACCACGAATATGTAATACAAGGCTCTTATATAATGTTACAATATCAGTTGAAAAATATTAAAAATACATAAGCACGGTTTTGTTGTATGACCATTAAAAGTTCAAATTCTGACAACATTTATCAAACTGAAAATGTACAAATTATCTTGTAGTTAAATATTTATGAAATATTCAACTTGTATAGCTAAGAATCAACAATTTAAAACAAAGTTTCACACAAATAGTTAATTCTGTAACCAAAAAATCTAAAAATATACAAAAACAGTTTTTTTATAATTATCTTATGTTAAAATTTGGGCGAAATTACATATTACTAAATAACCAAAAATAATGATTTAATTTATTTTTTTGTTCGTCAAAAATTAATTTAACCTTCTGTAAAACTAATGCGTAATAGTAAAAAAAATGACTTTAAACACAATATAATATCATCAAATATATTAAATTACTATATTAAATATTACAGGCTGACAGACCGTCTCCGCTCAGAATTCAAATTTTTTTTTATACGATCTCAACACAAAAATAAAACAAATGAAATAGAATATCAAATGCATCAAATAAAAAATACTTATGTTACCCATTTTAAAACAATATTTTTACAATTTATAAGTTAAGAAGGAATTTGAAGCATTTGATTAGCAAAAAAAGAGTCATAACTCGTTAATGCTAATTAATTACAATTTTTACTTAAGTAAAACAAAAATCTGCAGTTTACATTTTTTCTAGCTGTAAAAGTATTATTTTAATATTTAAAATATTGTTCTCGTGATATTATAATAACAGATTATAGATATTATAGATATATATGTAGGAATTGTATAAATAGCTATGTGAGAATTTTTTCGCAAAAAATGCATAGAAGTAATTCAACAGTGTTTCGTCTACTTAAAATATATCATTTTATGTGTTTTCTAATTTATCAGTATAATAATATTAGTTTAAATTTCAAAATATTACGAAAACTATAGATTATTTTTCTACTTATTTCATAAACTTACTTTTTATACACATAATATATTTAATATATTATATAGTAACACTTCGATATGAATGTAGAATCTGTTAGGAAACATAACTTCGTTATAAAACCAATTATTGCCGTTATTAAAACTAATTGAGAGAAGGGATATAGATAACATATTTATGGGAACTGAGCAGTCGTTTTTATAATTATGTTTGTTAATAGTTAATATATATAATATATATACATGTATAACATAATATAACATTATTACCGATATAAAGCATGTGTTATCGTCAATGTTTCTAATCAATGTACAAACTGTAAAGAACATTCTACAAGTTAAAAAAATTTAATTCATTAAAATAATTTGTATTTATTACTTTTCATTTACATTTAATGTTTTAACTATGTCTTTATTTCCATGCACCTAATCTCTCTATAATTATACATTTGTACTATAATAGGTACACGAACACCAGTTAAACAACTTTGCGTAATCCAAGCCACTTTCGTTTATAATTTTCGAGATAAAATATTTAACTACTTAAATATATCATTGCAGCCGCGAGTAAAATAGCATTGTATAACGTCTGTCGCTTATCACTCAAAAAAAAAATACATATATGTATAAATATTATGTACCCATGTGTAGATACTTGGATTATTGAAATTATCAAATACGAGTTTAAGAGTAATAGCTATTACCTATTACTCATTTAGATTATAGGTACCTAGCTACTTTGAAAAGAATTAACGTTAGCTTAAAATATATATATTTAAATGTCAATATTAGTTTATGTGTTATACTAAAAGGTGTAATAGAATATTGTGAAGGTAAATAATAATAGATTCATCGGTTCATGATAAATTAAAAATCAACTAAACCATAAGAAAATAAATATAATTTATATGTATAGTTGTATATAGGTACTAACTTACTTCAAGTGATAAGTTTAATTTAATTTTATTAAATCGCGTCTTTTTTTCGTTGTTGATATAATGGTACCATAACCGTATAGGGTTATAACATGACAATTTTTAAAATTATATTTTTTTTTATAGATCACCAAATTCATCACGATGAAATTGTAGGTTATATACGTAAATAACATATAGATTAATTATGGAAAAGTAACAACACTATACACATTTATTGAAGACGTACCTATTTATGTTAATTATTCGGTTTATTTTAAGAATTATTACACTATTATGATCAAAAACGTCTATGATTTCCATTGATAATAATTCGGTTAATTTCCGGTATAATTGTCCGTTTCTTTAATTTCCTGATGCCGCATCCGAGCCATAAACATAATCATAGGACTTGGCGGATTATTATGATAAGTAGGTAGTAGGTACTATTATTTGTTCAAAACGGCTCATTCAAAATTGTATATTTTACCTTAAGTCATCACATATGTAAAAACATCATTTGATGTAAGTAATTATTATCTATTTTGATTATTATTTTTATCCAAAATAAAGAAATTAATTTATAATTGTTATTTTCTATAATTGTTGTACAAAAAGCTAATAATAAAAAATAAATAAATAAAATAATTAATTCAAATTTTGAATACCTGCTAGTTCTTTTGGTTTAAATCTAATGTACCTAATAGTACCTATTTATAGTCATTACATGAAATGCGTAACTGCAGTGAATGATTATAAATACTGAATAATACTATCGTATTAAATAGGTTATGTAGGTATCTAACGGAAAATGTAAAATGTGAATAATATTGTATTGTACATGCGTAAAGACCTAGACATGAAAACAATTCAGGAAGAGGAAAAAATTATTATAAACGATTCCACCTACGCCATAACTCTCACCCAAACGAACTTATAAAAAATCTAGCTTCATTAACCATCCCTGGTAACCCTCCTCGTCGCCTTAAGGGAAAATATTGCAGAGACCTACTTAATCCCTAAAACAAAAGGATAAGGCTAAAAAAAAATAGTTAAAAGACCTAAGTGTCATCGGTGGGTGGCTTCTTCATTCAAAATTTCATTCTTATTTGTCATTAGCTCATACTCTTATTGTGCCGATTGCGTATAGATTGTGTATATATTAATAAAGGAAAAAAATATATTGTACGTACAAAATACAAATTACAAGCTGGTAATTTTATTATTGAAGAAGATTGTACATTTCAAAAACCGATAGTATAATATTATAATAAATCCAAATATAGTTGTTTAATCGTTAAAAAAAAAAAAATAGTAATTATTAGATAGGGAAAAATAAAAATGATTATTGTTATGTCTATATAATGGGACTAAGATCAATTTATATCTCTATCGGCATTCGGGCGATTATACCATTCATATCCATACATAAAGTCACGAACATTTGACCTCTGATAATGATTTCAACAGTTTCATTTAAATGGTTAACATTTTTCTTTTTTTTTTATGACGGAATCGTTAATCAATTTTTCATTTAGTTCATACACCATTATACTGCGCCATACAGTCATATGATAAATAATTTTATTTAATACTATTATTTTATTATATATTGTTATTATGTTTTCTTGTTTAACTTGGCTGTCTAATTTGACTAGATTCAATAGTGAATCTTCTATTTTTCAATTTTTAAAGATAATTATTGTACATTACGACTAACTTTTTATTAGATTGGAATTCAGAGTTATTTAAAATTACTATCACACTCAATTTAATACATAATATTAAACATATATTATGTATCAATATGTTTACTGTAGAGAAGCTATACTAACAAGAAGACTATAATGGACAGTGAACACATTAGGTACCTATAATACCATTCAGAAGATGAGACACCATATTATCGTCGTATAGACATCATAGACCATTGCAGTAATAACTAATAATGTTAGTATACTCAGTGTCTCAGTATGATACAACTTTACAAGACGTCTACTATATACGGTAAATATAAAGCTAAAAGCAATGGAAGTATAATAATACACAATATTGCACACAAATATTTAACCTAATTTAGAACATTACTTTTTTAAGTAAATTGTGTAATAATAACCTTTTTTATTTTTACAAATATCGAATTCTTAAAAAAGGTTCTGTACCCAAGTCGACGTAACAATGCACTAATGTACTCGTTAGAGCTCCATACTCTTGCGTTTGTTGTCTCGGTCTTACAAACGTATAACATCGCATATTTTCGTTCACTAGTTTCAATAGTGTGCTGTTAGTTTTGATATTAGAGTGAATTGACCTATTATCAAATTTTTAAATAAGAACATTATCCGTGCTCAAGCGTTGGTTTTTAAAAGCTATTTTACATTTTAAGGGAGATATAAGCATTTTTAATTTGTGATATTTCACATAGGTACCCATAATATCTTGCTTGAATATTAAATTATCTACAACAATCTTACCTAAAGATTTGATAATAGGTAATAATACCCTAATATCAAAACTAACAGTATAGTATTGAAATTAGTGAACGATAATTTGTAATGCCGCACGTGTTTAAGACGGAGACATCAAATGCATAAGGTAGAGTCGTCTTAAGAAGACGCCGCGGCTGCACACAGCACACATATGTTGATATCTATATTTTGTTATTTGTGCAACAACTGCCTAAATAATTCACGTATAGTATTTCTATAATAGTTTTGTTGTTTTCAATATTAAGTAAGACCCAGTATCAAACTCAACTATGACGGTACCTATTGACCGTGCTCTCTTGTCGGTTTTTATATTTAAATTTTAAAGATAAGTAAATAGATAGATACAATATTATGTCAATTTCAAAATACTTATATCCTGCTTAAACAGACAAAAAGTTAAAAATAAAACCGACGAGTGATCGCGGATATATTATCATCGTCTTTAATAATAGAATAATATCGTTTGATATTAGGTCTATAAATCTATTTTATACTCTAATGTTAAAAATGAAATAACTGTATCGGAAAATGTGGTACGAACATATTATGTTATGTAAGGAAGATAGGTACAATAATAATGTACAACAAAATGCATGCGTAATTGCTGTAGTAGAGGGTCCTCTGAAAATTGAAATATTAGGTATGTACAAAAATAAAAACGAGTAGGTAACTATATAAAGTATAAACGACATAAGTATAATCTCACATTGGGCACAATAGCCAATAATAATTATAATGTCAATATGAAGGGATCCGCTATGAAGAGTAAGTACGGGCTCTACAATTCGAACATTAGTCAGTAGTGACTAATTTACTAATATTACCATTTAATAATATTGGTATTATTATTTCTAACTGGCAACTGATTACCAATTTCAGTTATTGTGATAATTTGGCTGTAGGCGTATTATGAATTATAACCATATAGGTACGATGCATACTATATTAAAATAATGATGCCTGTTTTAAAAACAATATTCATATTTATTATTTATTTATACCGTTGGAATAATAATTATACCTAATAATAATAATTGTGTTTAATAATTAAATTAATTATGATAATGAGTGTATTATTATGTTTATTGCAATTTAAGAACCAAGCTGAAAAACAATAAATATTAATTATTCATTATAATAGATGTATGCTCGTATATATAATATGCTTATTTGCATTAATTAAATGTGTACGTTGTTATGTACGGATACTCAATAGTCAATAGGGATATGAGTTTTGAGGATTGTTTGGCTTATATAGGGTGTCAATGTCAATCCACGAGACTGAATAAAATATGGCTATTACTTATAGGCTACAAAATAAGACTGATTAAAATAATAATATTATTATGTACTATAAATTATAATATTATGTATACATCGATGGCCAAAGCAAAATAGCAAAATAATAATATTAAAAATCACAAAAATGTTATGAATCAAAATTATTTACATATTTTATTCATTTTAAGTTAACAGTTTGAAAGTAAGGCTACCTATCTGGTGCTGCAGTGGTATTGTGTAATTACCTACTAGGCAACTTTTTTTTTTGAGCATCAGCCACATAGTTAAGTATTAAGTTACGTTCCAATATATCATTTACGTTTGGTTATTTACATTTGATTATTTACATTAGATTAATCTATACCACTATACATTTCAATTTTGTTACTTCTAACTATAATTATTATTATGTAAAAAAAAACAATAATATATAGATTTCATAGATTTTAAGTTTAACTCAAACAGAACCAGCATTAAAAAACATGCTCTAAGTAAAATCGAAAAATGAAGCTGTAAATAAATAATGAATGAATGGGTTTTGTAATAAAATCGTATAAAGAATCAAAGATTGTTTAATCAATTATCATAATGGATGTACCCGCACACGTCGACAGTATAAAACATAGACAGTCTTGAAATTCAAAAACTTTTTAAAAATGTCCAGTCATGCTTAGAATAATTTATTCAACAAATATTTTTAGAAAACCTGTTACGATACATTTTGTTTTCGGATAATAATAATAATAAACGTTTTCCCGACGAATAAAGAGCGAGTATTTCGTTCTACTAAAATTATAATTATTAAGTTAATTTATTATTTATATATCATTTTATGGGAGCGAGACCTCCTATATTATTACATACAAAATAATGTTCTCCGTTTAGGTATATAATAATAATATTATGTATAATATACCTGATATCTCGTACATTTTATCAACATTTTCGTTCGAAAATTTTTATTTGTAATTTTGTACATATTTTGTTAATATTTTTAATACGGTCTGTGGTGTATGTTTGATGTTGGTATATACGTCATGTCGTCATATAATACCACATTTTTTCGGCGTTTTCAAATGTGCTTCTTTCCGAGTAGATATTTAGATAATATACCCTCGGACCACCCTCCTTCTAAATGCCCACACCATTCAGAACTACATTGGTCCTCGTGAAATATAAAAATACTGGGGACATGCCGAGTTTTGGAGTCGTATAAATATGCGCTTAAACATACACGCGCACACACAAACACTCTCACAGACACGTCTCTCTCCCTCTCACACACTTTCTCTCTCACGCACACACACACAAACACATTCTCACACATACTCGAGTGCATCATATATTATGTGGCAGGATGTACGTCAAAAATTACTTGGATAGTTTGATATTATAGAAGTATGGTGGCACCGTACCATGACCGGATACCGCGCGTATGTACAGCTATACAATGTATTATAGCATTATACTATACATATATTACATTGAAACTCCGAACTCGGCCCAGATTTTTATTATATCCGAAACAAAACATCTCTCATTCCCTCGAACGACTAACTAAATAATAATATGCACAATTTATCAAATGGTGAAGACTGTAGACGGACTACGCACATTGCATTATATTATAGGTACCTACTTAACGTATATTATAAATAACATATTATTTATTAACCATTATAAAATAATATTTTAATCACGCGTCGCCGAGTCGATGATCGGTGTGAATTGCATTCTCTGCTTGCGTTTTTCACTTCGCTGTACTTGGACTTTAGGTGCAGCGAATCATAGAAAAAAAAACAATAAGTATTTAAATCAAAGTACGCATTTCATTCGTTTAAAGATATATTATTTATCGTATAAGAAGTTTTCAAAACAGTAAATATACTTCAATGCTATATAGTCCTTAATATTCCAGGGCAGCTGGTCGAGGTTTTTGTGGAACATTTTCAAGTTAAGTGCATCTTCCATCAACCCTTGTATTTTAAAAATCACCTTTATTAAATTTAATATGCCTACTTTTAAAAATTGACACAATGGTAGGAAAAACAATTAAATATATTTTCAAATGTACACATTGACACTATTTAGTGTTAACTGGCTTAACTTTGTTCGCTCAAATTCTAAACAGTTGGTACTGTGGTAGGTAGGTAGGTACACATAAAGATAAAGAATGAATAGGTTTACATAGGACTTTTTCCAGTAATAAAAACTGATTTTACACTATTCTCATACCTAGGTACCTAATAAGTATTGTACTGTGATATATTATAAAAATGATAATTAAAGCATCACTATAAGTTTAAATACAATTATTTATGTATTATGCATGAATATACCATTTCAATATTGTTTATCAAAGCGATTTTTCTAAAAACATAAATATATTTTGTAATTTCTAATAAATTAAAAAAAAAACTGAAATTCGTTACATTTGTTTTTTGCCTAGCTATTTTTATGACCAATTATTCACCGTATTTTTACGAAAAATAATGATCAAGTATATGTCAGTATATATCACAAAGAATGTAATAGAAGTGCACTTTTCGATATTATAATATTTGTGAGGATACGAGCCATAACAGGTGTAATAATTATCCTAATCGTATGTATTAGTAGGTACATGATACTTGTATTTGAACCGTCTCAGTGTCTGACTTAGTATTATTGTGTAGAAGTTTATATTACCTACTTAATTCTTATGTCATCGATGATATATAATAATTATTACGGTTAATGTTATTGTTGAACGAATGGTGTGACTGTAATGGGTCTAGACCAAATGTGCCGTTAGCAAATGTATTTCGTCGTTGAATAAAATAAAATAATACAGTGAATGGTGATAATTTTTAATTTTTCAGGATCAAATTACTGTAATGGTTAAAGTTAAATTTACTACCGTATGCACACATAATAATATATCGACATATTAATATACTATACATATATTTTGGATGAAGGTATCGAACAGTTAATTGTTTTCCTAAAGTCTTGACGATTTCTTGTTCTCGTATTTCAATTACTCGTCATTATATTCATTAGTACCTACCCATCGTTAAATATTATACATTTTACGTGCATTAAGTACCTCTACGAATAGCGGAAAAAAATACAGAGTAAAAAATATTTAAATAAATAGACCTATTACCTTTTTTCATTTATTAAGTGCAAAATAAAAATATCTAACTAAATATTTCATAACAAACTTTTCTCATATAAGTAAAAACAAATTGTAAGTAGACACCCATGCAATACAATACATACATAGAAATTCATTATATCAATATATTTACAATTAAATGTATTGGTATAATTATTGCATTTCAAAATAAATATTTGTCGGGATGTACAGAATTAATTATTGTTATTTGAAGTAGATATGAAAAAAAAAATAGTGGAATTTGTTTCTTCTATTGCATACCTAATCAAATTAATATATATGAATCAATTATTAGGTAATAATTAGTAAAGATGGTGTTAAATTGTACATTTATTTATAATTTATATATATTTATACCTGTTGAGGTACATAGGTGAACTAAACTTTATTATTATTTCATACCTAATTGTTATATTTTGTGAACTAATTAAGTAATACCAACAGACTTAAAAGTAGGTAGGTCGTAGATACATGAAATATACCATACATATTATATATATATGAAATATACCTACCTACATTTAAAAAATAAAAAGATAAAAATATGGGCGTTTTTCACTTACTTACATATTTATCATATTCTAAATGATTTTAATTTAACCAATTTCGTCATAAGTTTTATAGTAATAATATTTAAAAAAATATTCTGTACCAAATAACCAAAGCACTTATCATAATACAATAATTGTTGGTATGTATGGCGAGTTTAATCACATACGTAGGTACGACCAACAAATAACAATTAATAATTATAATATATTAAATTATGTACTATCGCAGTGTATAATATTCGTACCACTGTAGAATAAAAATATACATCAATATAATTTATAATATTATGCGAAGTTGAAAATCCCGCGCAACGCGTAGGTATAATATATTTGTATTTCCGTGTACGTTTATCTGTAATCTGTGTTAATGTGTTATTAATTAAAATTATAATATTTTAATACTATTATATTTATCATTTGTGATTATGACTCGACCGACTAAACTATAGCGTGCCAGCATATTATTACAAAATAGTATATTGAAACAAGCAACAGTGGTGGTAATCGAAGTAAAATATGGTCATGTGTTATTCGTATAGAATTAATTTTAAAAAGATGAAACTGCAATTTGTACTTTGTAGGCAGATAAGCATGTTATACTATATGCCTGCGACTAAACAAAAGTAGAAAGTTGAAAAATACCACCTACAGTTAGCCTCCTACCCATAAAATATAAAGACGACTATTGCATAGGCGTAGGTTGATAGGTATATTCAAACCATACACATATTTTTACCTATAAAATACTCAATTCCATTCGGCCGATGTACGATTTGTGTTTTTTCCGTATAAACTTGTTTCATTTATTGATTTTAAAACATTGTAAAATAGCCATGGTCGGTCGTTATAGAATTGATGAATATTCACGTAATAAAACAATGTAGGATTCTATTCGAATTTTTTGGTAACCCATTACCCATAATATACAAGTATCTATATTGTTTTGACGAGTAGGCGTTATTCGATTGAGTACGATTTCGGATAAAACATATACATTTGGGAATGATAACATAACAATTATATTAGTCGTTATGACGCAAGTATAGGCAAGGTATTCGGAATTTAGAAACACCGTACCTTGTACAGGCGTACGACAGTCGACTATAAGATACTAAGATAGGAGGTTATATCTTATATAAAACCTTACATACCAAACGACGACAATAATATAATAAATAATAGTACAACATAATATTATTTTATAGTAGGTAATGATATTGCTGGCTGCTGCGGCCCGCGAGTGATGGCGACGACATACCGCCGCGCGCGCACACAAATGGTCGTTCACTCGTCCCTGCGCTGTGACGTCATCACAGGCGGCGATCTAACCGCATCGGAATTCCGACACGAAACCTTCACCGGCGGTGCGTGCGTGCGTCCACTTGGTGGGGAAGGATGGCGGGTGGGTGGAGAAGTAGGCCTGTAACGACGTTAATGCATTCGTATTCCGATGCGATGCGTTGCGATGCGTCGAGTGCGTGCGTGTGGCCAAGGCCCGTGCGACGGTTGCGAGTGCGGGCGCGCCGTGTGTGTTGGTCTCTCTACTGTTCACTGTTCTGTACTCTCTTTCTTTTCCACATTTGCCTCGGACGCGTTCGGTCTGCAGTCACTCGTGTTCCCGTGTCCGCACTCCGAAGCCGCTGCTGCCGCCGCCACCGTCGTTAACTCTGAACTATTGAGTCTTAATTTTTTTTACTTCTCATGCATTCTCAAATATTTCATTTATTTTACTAATATTCTGCTGGCCCCATCATCCAATTCTCGTTAGTCGTCAACGGTTCCGCGTTTTTCAAAACAGTCATCAACTTAGAAGGAGAACGTGTTACTCGTGGTTACGTCGACCACGGGTTTTTCTCGTTAGCCTTTTTTTTTTTAAACCGTGTTTGGCTTTAGATTTTAATTTATTTCCCAACCAGTCTTGTTCACTCTCAACCAGCGCGTTAACAAAAATTATTCTGCTATTTTTTTTTTTTTGAGGTTTGGCAGCGGCGGCGACGAAGAAACGTGCTTCGTGCGTGCGCGCATACGAATGGAACGCGCGCGCGCACGCACCGGAGCGCGGCGCGGCGGCGACGTAGTTCGTGGAAACGCGGAACACGTGAGAACGACAACGGAGGCGGCGGCGGCGGCGACTACTGCAGCAGTCTGCAGTCAGTAGCAGCTGACGACGACAATGCCGAGAGTTTCAATGTCACGTAGGGTGGTGTGTGTGGTGTACCCTCCGCCGCCGCTCAACGATCACGTGTTTGTGCGTAACACAATGGTAGTTCGCGCCGTAACTGCGCGTCGTGTTCGGTAAGTATGAATTCATGCACACGTACGACGACCACCAGTGAAACGCGCCCGTTCGACCGGAAAACGTTACAGATCGCGGTCGTCCGTGTGTGGCGCGCAGACGATTCACAATAATAATAATAATAATAATAATAATCATGTTGTAGCATTGTCTGCTGCGCGATCGGCGTTCAAGGTTTTTCATAGTCCAAGACGTCAGTTCGTTTCAATATCGTCATTCCCATGTTCGTCGGCTGGACGGTCCGGGCTGTTTTTTAATTTTCCATCATTATCGTTATAATAATAATGTATACTTCTTTTCCCCGCTGCACATTGTTTTAATTTTTTTTTTCCTCCTTCAAGTATTTGTTTTTTTTTTTTACTGTCCATGTAAATTAGCCTAATTTGTGTATTATTTAATTGTTAACGGCGTCTTGTTTTATTTTCAGTTACGATATACTTTGTTATTGAGTGAGATCTTGATAAACTCGCCTGTGATTTTTTACCAACAAGGCGAGGATATAAAGGTCTTATTTGGTATTCATTGATTTACGTCGAAAACCTTATCATTCATGAAAATTTGTATGTTCTGTTGAAGCATATCATTTTTTCAGGTTCGAGTCATTCAACTTTCATCATCATTGCAATTGTATTAAAAAACCTTGATAATTGTCTTATGTTTTTTTGATACTTAAAAATGTATAATTAAGTATGTTTATTATAATTCTTTTAACTGTTTTTTTAATTGTTAATTATATTATAGTTGATGATAATAATTTTGTGTATAGAAATAAAAATAAATGCAAACTATTAAGATAAGCCGATAAGGTATTGTTGGATATTGACTTCCTCCAGGCTCTGTTGGTATAAACTATAATTATCTGCTGATAAAATTTCATTTTTGTTCATAGTATGAGTAAAAGCTTTATGATTTTGTTATAATAACTCTATCTCTAGTTATTAGATATTTATTATCAATAACCTTTTCAAATATTTAATTGTTCACATTCTTAGATTGCATCTTCAAGTAGAGCAAATCAATAATTGTTCTGTAATATGCTGTCAGTATTTTATGATGATTTTCATTTATCTTATAGCAATAGGCTCTTAATAATTTGAACTACATTTATGTGAAGTAATATCTTACTAAGTTACTATACATAGATAAGGAAAACTAGCTATGAAAAAGTGTGAAATCATAGAAGTCAATTGAAATAAATAAAAACTAGTTTATTGAAAACATTAAAGTTGCAGTGTGTTTATTAATGACATTGAAACATAGTAACAATTATTGTTAATTGATCTTGTCTCAATGGAACCAATCACATTCTACAATATGAGAAGTATTAGATGTTGAGTATGTTATTACAATTTATGTGTGGTAACAAAGATATTGAATATTTTTACTGAAGTATTATTTATTTGCATGTATTTCCATGGCTTAAAATTCACTCTTCAAACGAAGAAGTCTACAAATGAGTAGATTATCATGCGTATACAATTTTAAATAATAACAATGAGGAAAATGTTTTAAAAAAATTAACGTTATATATAAATATTGAATTTGATTTTATAACATTTTTATTAAATTATTTGATTTTAAATGAATTTAATAAGTAGGTTAGGTTTATATTATATTTTTCAAAGTACCTATTGAATATGACTTGCCTAATCTTATCAAACAATTCATGTCATGTTTATTTTACATTTATGCAAATGCATTTAAAATTAATTTTCAATGTATTAAATTATATGACTGATATAAAAATCCATATTAGGAATTACAAAATTAGATTTTCATTTGAATAGAACTTTTTTTTTTCTTTATTAATATATATACACAATCTGTACCTCCAGCACAATAAGAGTATGAGCTACAATAAATATAAAATTGAAAAATTTGATTGAAGAAGCCACCCATCGATGACACTTTCGAATTGAATAGAACTGAGTTTTATTTTTTACATTTTATCACAGGATTAAAAATGTAGGTTATTAAATTCTAACTATTTTTTATGCCACCATATTACATTTTTTTTTTATTTTATCAATTTAAAGTTACAGAAAATATATCTTATTAATATAATATTTTGTTAATTTCAGTTAAGCTTTATTAGAAAATTACAAAAACGCCACTTATTGCATTGCTTTTAATTAAATGAACTGTGTTTTTTTTCAACAAATACAGCACAGTGTAATAATAATAATAATAACATATAATATATTCTACACCTATAGCTATTAGCCATTAGCACAAAACTGCTGCAGTTATCAGTCAATTACCTACTTACAGACACCAAATATACAAAATTATTTTCCTATAATACACATTTTGTAGTAATAACTAATTAATATTTGTACAACTGTTTCAAAAAATATAACTTCTCTTATAGGTATTTGGTCATAAATTCAAAATAATAATCAAATATCGGCATGCGGTTACAAAACAGTGAACATACTATTTAGGCACAGTTTAATATTTAGAATAATTACCATAAAATGGGGTGAATCCAGACAGATTGATATTTTTACTGAATCTTTTTACTTCTTAGTTTGACAAAATATCTACAAATGCTTCAGTCCACGACTTAGTTAAATTATTATCGTTATTTTCAGATCAGTTTGGAACTTTCTGCTTATTGAAAAAGTAAAAATACCTAATGCATTTAAGAGCAAAATTAATATTGTTTTGCATACTATCGTGTAAATTTTCTAAAATATTTTGAAGTAGTTGAAGAAACTCAGATTTTGGTACCTATTCATCATAACCTATCTACAAGCCACCAAAAATTAAATTTAAATTTTACTGTTTATACGTTATTATATATTAGGTATAATACAGACTACTAAACCACTAGTAGTTTTCAAAAAATTCATGATAAAGTTTAGGTTTACATCAGGTATATTACAGGTAAAATAGTTTATAACTAGGTAGGTACTTAAAATAGGAATATATTTATGGTTATTAGATATAAAATCGAAAAATAGCACATTAAAAATTTTAATTTCGTTTTCATAAAAAAAATGGTATTTATATTATTTATAAAATTATAAATGTGTGGTGTACAATTTTGATTACTAACGTATAACTATTTATGATATATTAGTAGATCATTCATATTTTTTTAAAAACATTATATGGTATTAGTATACAGCTTTCTAATAAAATGTAAGACTGTATTATTAAGCATACATTCATTAAATCAAACCATAAAATATAAATGAATAGTTCTATTACGAAACATTATATAAGTCCTATGAAATGTTCAATAAATAGAGTATAATTTCATTTAATTAACACGATTCAAGACATTTCTCAACAAAAGAAAAAGTATATGGTTACCAAAAGTTTATATCCAATCAACAATAAGGCAGATTATGTACTTTTAGATTTTGTTATATTGATATTAGGTACCTGCCTAAACGGTATTAGTGTACAACTACCCAAGGTGTACTATTTAGCAGCAGTATTAAATGTATTTATTCTATGATAGAAGGTACAAAATATATATTATGTACATGTAAATAAATAATTAAAATGTTAATACCGTATACAACATGTGCTAGAAAAAAGAAAAAAAATTGGCCACATATTAGTAATTGTGGTTGGCTGGAGTGGACAACTTATTTGCTATACACATATGTAAAAACTACAATATAATATACAATATTTGACAACATTTGAATACAAATATATATTGTGTCCATGTCACATTTGTATACTACAAGGTATCAAGGTGAATAAAATATATTCAATTTCGTACTACACAATCTATAATAATAAAGTTAATTAGTCATACACATATGATACATGGCCAGAAGTGAAAAAGGGTGGACGAGGATAAGTGCCAAGTGGTAGACATAAATGATGCAACTACAACTCACAAGTCTTAGAATAAGTTTAAACTGAATACTTGAAGTTCACCTTACCTTAATCATAAGCATATACGATATTATTGGCAAAGTATTGGAGTACTTACTAAAACTTAAGTGTAACACATTTTTAAATTAATAAAGCTAAAAATATATCTTAATTTTTGTCTTCCTTCAATAAAAATATTTAATAGAGTACTCTGCAGCAGACGTGTCCAGATTTTCTGGGACACAATTAATGGATAACCATGGCTCTATATTAGATAACATTTAAATAAAAAAATTATAAATTTATATAAGCCAATTTTTTTCTTTTAAAACTAGTTCAGAGAAAAAACAATTCCTCAATCTTTACATTTATTATCTACTTAATAAACTTCCTAATCATAAGTTGATACAATTTATATGCATCAGTTTACACACTATCAAACAATTAATTTTTTGTACTTATAATTCTAAAATTATTACTATTTTTATGTCATTAAAAATGTTTAGAAAATTGAGGATTGGTATTATAAATCAATAGTTACAGATTATAACTTAATAACATATTAATATGAAAACCATAGTGTAATAGTGCACAGATAGTTCTAAATCAATGTTTTTAAAACTGTTAACCCTCCATATAATTTAATTATAACAAGTTAACATTAGTATACTAGTAATATGTATGTAGGGGAAAATAGCTATCCTGCACTACAACATAAATGTCCAAAACTGGTTACTGATATTAAAGAGTGATGGTTACATAAGTTATATTGTGTTCAATATAAATAAAAAAAAGTATTTTTACATGTTTGTATATTTTTTAACAATATTTTGAATAAACCTCTTAACAAGTACTATTGAAACATTAATTTTATGTCGAAATCAACATAGATCGATATTGATTATTTTAATTGTAATAATTGCATATCTCATATTAACTATAGTATAGTTTATATCAAGTTTCATTAAATTAGTAATAGTGTATAAAAATATCCTTAATTGTTTGTGCTATCTATTACATAAGTGTATCTAATTATTAAGTTACAATGCACTTTTGTATATTTAAATTAATACCGTTAAATATTTAATATGTTTTGTAGTTACACTAATAGATAAATATTTATAATTCACATAGGTATTTTAAGAAGTATAAAAATATTTATACATTTGTATAATCTACAGGTTAATAATATTTTTAATAAATATAGCTAATAATAATTATACCTCTGAATTACAATTTCAATATAATGTGTCAATATAATATGATACAAACAAAAATATATATGGTGTTTAGTTTACATTCACAATTCAATTAGTTACTTAAATTTAAGTCATATTAAAAATTAAAATCATCTATTATTGAAATAGACTATTATGAATGATACTAGTATTTATTTTTGTAAATATTACACAAATATGACTGCTAAAAATAGTATAATTTAAGAGGAAATTATACTCGAATGTGTAGTCTCTGTCTACATAACTATTAATATAACAAAACATCACAACACAAATTAATCTAGAACCCACAATTTTGATTTTGCTACATTCCCCATGAATATGGACCTAGATAATACATGCAGGTATATCATCCTCTTAATACACTATTTACAATATGTGAATAAAAAAAAAATATCAATCTTCAAATACATCAAAATAATACTAATGCTATTTT